TCCTTCAGGGCCAGGAATTCTTAGCCCCCTCCATGCCCTCTGCTCTTCCCACCTCATACCTGTGGGAGGTGAACACTGTGAGCTGAAAACTCTCATAACTATGCTTTCCTTTTTTTCTAACAAAGAGATAGAAATACTGTGAATCCTCTTTACTGGTGGGCTACATATTTACAAGTCCACCCACTCCCAAAATTTATTTGCAGTGCCAAATGAATTCTTGTAATCCATCTGCTGTCATCTGAGATCTGCAGAGTCATCTAATGTGTACATTTCCAGCTGAGTTCCAGCAAGGCAGCATTCATTCTGCATTCTTGTTTTAGTTCTCCAGCAGAACAGACAAGTATTTTTTTCATGGTGTATCTGGTGCCAATGCTGTTTGTATCTGGGGACCCAAAATGCAGTGCTGAAGTATTGTTTCATGCTCCTAAACACAAGAAGGCTGCCTTGTTAAGAAAATGCTTAGGGGAAGAACAAAAAGGGAAACGAAAAAAATGTGAGAGAATGAAAAGATGAAAATAAAGTGTTTGTAGATGGGGAGGGGAGCAGGGGGTGAAGGGAGGGCAGAGGTAAGGGGAAAAAAATGAGAATCAAGACTTGCCATGTAGAGGTACATGATCCCAACAATGAATATAACTGTACTGTATCCCTAAAATGTACCAATAAACTCAATAAAATTAAAAAAAAAAGAAAATGCAATGCATTTGGTAAGCTTTGTACAGGCACGAGTTATAATGCTGTAAACCATGCATTCAATGGCAGTGAATAACTAGACTATCATAATAAAAAGTGCCTTTAAACAAATTCACACCTAAAAAAGGTTCTGTGTTGGTAATTTGCTCAATATGCTTGCAGGAACTTTGCCTTATATTTCCTTTAGGAGCAATGGTTTACTTTTTTACTAATTTATTGTTAGTGGAAACTTTATAACACATAAACTGCACGTAAGTAGTCATACCTTCCTCAAAGGTTGTCATGAGGATCAAATGTATCAGTATATGCCAAGTGCTTAGAACACTGCCTGGCACACAATAAGCTCTTCTATCTAGATCCACTGTGCACCCACTCCTTCCTAGAGGTCATATGACCTTCCTGAGGCCTGAACAGGTAACGATGCACTGGTACCCTCTGCTGTTGGATCCCCCAAGCTGTCTGCTCCCCACCATGTACTCTAAGTCCAGCAAGGCCCACCGCCTTATGGATTTGCCAATGCATGCATACCCACCATGAAAGCTGTTTCTCATCTGGAAAGCCTTTTAGATAAACCACATTTTCTACTGAATCTCTTGACAATGCCTTTGGGGTCATAGGGCTTCTGAAACTGGAAATCCAGGAAACACTTGTTTCTCTGATTTCTTCTGTCACATCCTTCCCTAAAGCAATGAGGCTTCTTGATCTGGCCACAATATGAAGAAAGGGCCCAAAGGGAGAAGGAAATACCAAGACTAAAAATAGGATGAAGGAAAAGTGGGGGAAGCATTTAAAATAATCTTATCCTTTAAAATTTTTTCTTTGTCAATCTAAATAAATATCAGACTAGTACTGCAAAGAAAAAAGAAGAAGAGAAAGAAATAATGGTTAGCTTGAGTGTTCCCTCTGTGACTACATCACATATATCATTGATTGATAGTCCTTGTGCTCTCAGAAAACAAGTTATATCTGTCATGTTCACTGATGTTTCTCAAGCTTCCATCGCAGTTCCTTGTGAGCGCAGGTGCTGACAATGTCCACTGATAAACTAATGAGGTGAAGAAAACACACACACACACACACACACCTATATATGCACACAAACACACTGGTACTTATGTAAATTTGAAGATA